CGGAGGAGAGAGCAGGGGTGTATAAGATTCCTTATGAAAACTTACAACTGGACGTTAAAAAAGATTATATCGGCGTCACCACCAGAAACTTGGGAGTAAGGCTCAAGGAACATAGATATGCCATAAGAAAAGCGTCTAATTCAACGGTTTTGTCACAAATGGCGCAAGCACAAGGATCTGAGGTGAAATGGGACGAGGCAACAATCATCAAACCTCTGTCTTCCCCAACTCTAGCAATGACGGCAGAAAAAATAGAAATATACAGAAGTAAGATAAGAGAAGGCTGTTTAAATGCGAGGGATTCCGAGAGCCTGCCTTCGGCATGGAAATATTTGGTTAAGAAATATACTACAAGCTCTGACCAGAATTAACACATTGAAGATTTATGTTATTTTTGTTTTAGTGTTTTATTTTAATTTTTAAATATTCTTCCGTTATTTTATCTTGTAAAAATTTTTGATTTAAATTTTTATGTTCTATTCATGGAACATTTACGTTCCGTTGTATTTTTCAACCTGAAGATGGCCTATTAATTAGGCTGAAAACGTTTGTTGTTTAAAAATTATATTTCTCGGCAAAAAAGGTGTTTTGTTTATCTTTAGTTAGTTGCTGAGCGCTTTTGATATTGTGGTCAATGTCTTTGGATAACCACTTTTCAGATCATTTTCAATTGATTCTTGGCCCTCTTTGAATCAACGAAACCAGTCATAAACTTGTGTCCAACTTAGGCAATCATTCCTGTAGACTTGTTTCAATAACTTAAAAGTTTCGGTAAAAGTTTTCTTTAGTTTTACACAGAACTTAATGTTTGCACATTGCTCCATTGCAATTTTCTGATGAGGGTCACAAAATAACCCTTACATTTTGTGCCACACAGAGGATTGTTATGAACCAATTCAAATCTAATTGCACACGATTGATAATATAACATTCAAAATTTTGAATTTGACCACTAATGCTAGTTGCACCATCTAGTTATATTTATAAAGCAAAAGTTTGTCTTCTTTTTAGACAACCTATGTACCTAACTTTTGGTAATAAATTCATTTTGTTATTTACACTTGTCTTTGTTTTATGGACTATTGGAGCATGAAAAAGAAACAGTCCTCGTATAATGATATATGATGAATTATTTAGATCTTACAATAGAAAGGAAAAAATATAAATTAGAATTTAGAACTTACAGAAAATTGAATAATGTACTGTACAAAAAATAATTGATCATAAATAAAAAATTCCTTTATACATCAAAAAATAAACAGTAAGACCCCGCTTAATGCTGATTTGATATAACGCAGTCTGCTTGAAGCCTAAAAAAGGCTCAAAATTTACGCTGATTTAAATTATTGCACCATTTCATTGATTTGTATATAATATGATTATTTATGAACACGAACCAATCAGCAAAAGGTGGGAAAAAGATGTGCTTTCTTTAAATCTATGTTTGTTTGGTCCAATTTTGGAAAAATATAACATCATGGATGTCATAGGCAATATTGGCTTTGCTTGGCAAGAATTAACTGACAAATACACGAACAAAGTGTGGAAGAAATTATGGCTGAAGGTATCCAAAAATTTGCAACGAGTAGAGCTTATCACTATATCGTTAGGTTGACTAAACAGTCAACCTAATCGATACAGCAGGACTAGTAGATGTAGATGAGCAGGATATTGAAGAGTTACCGCGGGTTTCTGGTGAGAGTCTTACCAACAACGACCTTCAAGAACTTGCAGAACAAGGAATTCATGTAGAGCTGGAAAATAGATTCTGAAAACAAAGAACCCAAAAAATCTCTCTACAGATTTCCTTAGTAAAAATTTGGTAATGACAACTGAAATCGTCGATCAAATTGTAGTGAATGATCCAGATTTTGAAAGGAGTGCAAAAGCGAAACGAGGTGTTTTGGATGCAATCTTCTGCTACCAACATTTGCTTAAGCAAAGAAAAAAGCAACAAATAAAACTTCACAACTTTATTGCAAAAAAAAAAAAAAACAATAATTTCAGAAAAGTCAGAACCTTCATCACAAAAAATGAACTTTACATTTCTGTGTGCATATGTTTGTGTGTTATTTAACATATATTATTATGCAAATCAATATAAAAATAACTTAAAATTAAAGTAAAATTTGTTTATTTTTGGTGGCGTGTTCCCCTATCCCTATTTACTCTAAGTTAAAAT